CCTGGTCGGGGTGCATATGAGAGGCAACTAACTGATGGATGTTTCTCTCATATCGATGTTTCTCTCCTCCCCCCGGCTTCTTTAAAATCAATAGACATATCCTTGGTGAGGCACACGCGCGCGCGCGTGTGTGTGTATATATATAAAATATATTAATAAAAGAAGGAATGAACGCTGGTTTCATCCACCAAAAAACTGTTAGAATAAATGAATTCAGTATACTTGCAGGATACAAAATCAACATATAAAAATCAGCTGCAGCTCTATACACTAACAACAAACTATCTGAAAACAAAACAACCCCATTTACAAGTATATCCAAAATAATAAAAATAATTAGGAATAAATTTAACCAAGGAGATAAAAGACGTGTACAATAAAACTTACCAGACACTGATGAAAGATACAAATAAATAGAAAGATATTCCATGCTCATGTATTGGAAGAATTAATATTGTTAAATGTCCATTCTACCAAAAGTGATCTACAGATTCAATGTAATTCCTATCAAAATTTCAATGGCATTGCCCTGGCTGTTTTGGTTCAGTGTTTTGGTTCAGCCTGCAGACTGAAGGGTCCCAGGTTTGATTCTGGTAGGAGCACGTGCTGGGTTGTGGGCTCGGTCACCGATGCGGGGCGTGCAGGAGGCAGCTGATCAACTCATCACTGATGTTTCTATATATCTCTCCCTCTCCCTTCCTCTCTGAAATAAATTTAAAAAAATATTAAAAAAAAATTTCAATGGCACTGATCATAGAAATAGAAAAAAAAAATCCTAAAATTCGTATGGAACCATAAAAGAACCAAAATAGCCAAGCAATCTTCAAAAAGCAGAACAAAGTTGGAGGCATCACATTTTCCAATTACAAACTATACTACAGAGATATAGTAAGCAAAACAGTATGGTACTGACATAAAAACAGATATGAATCAGCCTTGGCCAGTATGGATCAGTTGGTTGGAGCATGATCACATATACATAAGGCAACCAATTGATGCTCTTTCTCACATTGATGATTTTCTCTTTTCCATTCTCTCTTTTTCTCCACTTTCCCCTCACTCTAAAATCAGTAAGCATATCCTCTGGTGAAGATTAAAAAAAAAAAAAAAAGGAACATAGATCAATGAACAGAATCAAAAGCGCAGAAATAAATTCTTGCATATAGGGTCGACTTATATTTGACAAGGGAGCCATGAATGCTCAATAGGTAAAGAACAGTCTCTTCAATAAATGGTGCTGGGAAAACTAGATATTTATATGCAAAAAAAGGAGGAGGGGGAGGGGGAGGAAGAGGAGAAATTAGACTCTTATTCATTTCAAGAATTAACTTGAAATGAATGAAAATCTTAAATGTAAGACCTGAGGTCATAAAACTCCTAGAAGAAAACAGAGGGGAAATGCTCTTTGATATGGGTCTTGGCAATTTTTATACGACACCTAAAGCACAAGCAGCAAAAGCAAAAATAAACAAATGGGACAACACCAAACTAAAAGCTTCTGAACAGTAAAATAAACAACAAAATGAAAAGACAACCTATAGAATGGAAGAAACTATTTGTAAACCCCTACAACTCAATAGCAAAATGCCAAATAGTCAGATTTAAAAATGGGCAAAGCTTCTGAATAGACATTTTCCCAAAGAGGACATACAATCAACAGATATATGAAAAAATGTTCTACATCACTAATCATCATTGAAATGCAAGTCAAAACCACAATAAGTTATCTCCTTACACCTGTTAGAATGATTATTATCCAAAACAAGCAAGCAAGCAAACAACCCAACAAACAAAAAGCCCAAACAAATCCAAGAAATAAGAGTTGATGAGGATATAGAAAATGGGGAACCTTGTACTGCTGGTGAGAATGTAAATTGGTGCAGCCACTATGAAAAACAGTATGTAGAGTCCTCAAAAAATTAAAAATAGAACTACCATATGATCCAGCAATCCAATTCCATTTCTGGGTATATATCCAAAGGAAATGAAATAACTCTAGAGGTATATGCACTCCCATATTCACTAGAGTATTATTCAGAATAGCCATGACATGAAATAACCAATGTCCACAAACAGATGAATGGATTAAAAAAAGTGGTAAATATATTCAATGGAATATTATTCAACTATGAAAAAGAGCACCGCACCATTTGGGACTACATGAATTGACCTTGCGGGCATTATGCTAAGTGAAATAAGCCAGATAAAGACTCTGTTCTTATTGTATATTTTCATATTGGAATCTAAAAACTCATAGAAACAGAGAGAAGAATGGTGGTTGCCCTGTACTAGGGCAGCAGTTCTCAACCTGTGGGTCGTGACCCCTTTGGCAGTCGAACCACAGGGGTCGCCTAAGACCATCCTGCCTATCAGATATTTACATTACGATTCATAACAGTAGCAACATTACAGTTATGAAGTAGCAACGAAAATAATTTTATGGTTGGGTCACAACATGAGGAACTGTATTTAAAGGGTCAGAAGGTTGAGAACCACTGTGCTAGGGGGTGGAGGAAATGTTGGTCAAATTATATAAATTTTCAGTTATAAAATAAGTTCTGGGATTTAACATATAGCATGATGACTGGAGTTAACAATATATATTTTTTAAAATATATTTTATTGATTTTTGTTACAGAGAGGAAGGGAGAGGGATAGAGAGTTAGAAACATCAATGAGAGAGAAACATCGATCAGCTGCCTCCTGCACACCCCCTACTGGGATGTGCCCACAACCAAAATACATGCCCTTGACTGGAATCGAACCTGGGACCCTTCAGTCTGCAGGCCGATGCTCTATCCACTGAGCCAAACCAGCTAGGGCTGGAGTTAACAATATTGTATTGTGTATATAAGTTGCTAAGAGAGTAGACCTTAAGTCTTATCACCACACACGCAAAGAAGGTAATTATGTGAGATGATGCTGGTGTTAACTAACCTTAGTGTGCTAATCATTCACAACATAAATGTGTCAAATCATCACGTTATACACCTTAAATTACTCAATGTTATATGTCAATTGTAACTAAATAAAGCTGGAAAAAATAAGAGGCCTCCCCTTAAAAAGAAAATAAACTTCATCACAAAAGTGAAATGACAAACCACAGAATTGGAGTATGGATTTGCAAATTAGATATCTGATAAGGGACTTGTATTTAGAATCTATAAAGAGCTTTTAAGATTATCAAATTTAAAAATGGGCAAAGGATCTGAATAGATATTTTCCCAAAGGAGATATATATATATGTCCAGTAAGCACATGAAAAGATACTCAACCTCCTTAGTTATCAGAGAAAAAGCAAATTAAACTACGATGAGATAGCATTTCATACCCATTAGAATGCCTATAATAAAAAGGATACATAACAAGTATTGGCAAGGATGAGGAAAAAATTGGAAGCCTCAGACATTTCTGGTGGGAATGTAAAATGTTATAGCTACTTTGGAAAAGTCTAGAGTGCCTCAAAAGGTTAAAGATAGTTACCACATGACCCAGCAATTTCAAACCTAGGTTTTCACCCAAGAGAAATGAAAAACATGTTCACACATAAAGCTGTACATGAATGTTCATATTCATGACAGCTAAACGGGAGAAACAACCCAAATGTTCAATGAATAGTTAAACAAAAGATCATATATTTTGACCAAAGGAGCAGTGCACAAAAATTCGTGCACTCGGGGTGGTGGTGGTAGGTGTGTCCTTCAGCTTGGCCTGAGCCTTCTCGCAGACAAGGACCCCTCTGGGGATGTCCACTTGCCAGCTTAGGCCCGATCCCCTAGGGGGTCGCACCTAAGCTGGCAGTGAGACATCCCTCTGGCAGCCCAGGAGCCCTCAGGGGATGTAAGCGGAGCTCCCCTGTGTTGAGCGTCCGCCCCTTGGTGGTCAGTGTGTGTCATAGCGATCGGTTGTTCTGCTGTTAGGGTCAATTTGCATATTATCCTTTTATTATATAGGATTCCATTTATATGAAATGTCCACGATAAGCAAATCTAGAGACAGAAAGTGGATTAGTGGTTGCCAGGGGCCAGATGGGTGTTTGGGGAAAATGTGGAGTCACTACTAATGGGTACAAGGTTTCTTTCTGCGGGACAAAAGTGTTTTAAAATTGTGGTGATAGCACCACAAGTCCATGAATGCTCTATAACCAAATGAATTTGTACATTTTAAATGGGTGTATTGTATTGTCTGAGAATCATACCTCAATAAAGCTGTTAAAGGCACACACTAAATTTCATCTAATTCTTTGATTTTCTAGAGAGGATCACCTTTCCTGCTCCAGTATTTAAATATGTTTAAAAAGAAAAATGAGCCAAACCGGTTTGGCTCAGTGGATAGAGCTTTGGCCTGCAGACTGAGAGGCCCCAGGTTTGGTTCCGGTCAAGGGCATGTACCTTGGTTGTGGGCACATCCCCAGTGGGGGGTGTGCAGGAGGCGACTGGTCGATGTTTCTCTCTCATCGATGTTTCTAACTCTCTATCCCTCTCCCTTCCTCTCTGTGAAAAATCAATAAAATATATTAAAAAAAAGAAAAAGAAAAGAAAAGAAAAATGAGCTGTGCGAAGCTAAAAAAAACCTTGCCCTTTGGGCCTTTACTGTGGAGCATGTCCTCACTGCCACACAGAGAACAAATTAAGTGGAGAGGCCAGCAGTCCACCTGGAGACTCAAGGTCCTGCATTCTAGTTGCTAGAGCACCACACTGTGGCCAGCATCAAACATGCATAATCTAATTTCTTCTCCCAAGCCCCAGATGAACTGGGAATACAGGACTTTACTGATTTAGGAAAATAATAGGGTGGTGCACACAGTGCATGCTTCACAACACACGTTACATGATGAGGCAGCAACTACTAATCAAAACACATTAACATTTCTTCAGCAACTTACTTTGGGACTGCAGGGAAAGGGCTGTGGGAAGCAGGCAGGGCCAAGACAGTGGAGCTGCAGGCCCTTCCTCCGGGGCCCCACAACCCAGCAAGGAGCCCAGTGCTGGGTGGCCTACCTTGGTGGCTGTGGGGAGCGGGGCTTTGGCTTCTCCTTTTCCTTCTCCCGCTCTTTCTCTCTGTCTCGGTCTCTGTGCTGTCTGTCCTTCTCGTCCCGTTTGGCTCGCTCTCGCTCCCACTCCTCTTTCCTCCGCTGCCGCTCCTTGTCGCGCTCTCGCTCTCGCTCCCGCTCCCGCTCCCGCTGTCGGCGCTCTCGTTCTCGGTCTCGCTCACGCTCCCGCTCGCGCTCTCGCTGTCTGTTCTCTCGCTCTCTTTCC